ATCAATTAAACAATGTAATAGGGAACCCAGGATTTATTGAAGAAAATCTCAAATAAAGAATGAGAGATCCCACCAATAATCTCTAGCTCCATTTTCTGTCATAATCTCAGGCTTGTGCAGGAGTTGGATTGATGAATAGTAAACGAGTGTACTACTTCAAAAAATTTCGATCAAGTAATTTTGTTGCGAAGTTGTGAATTATTTTAAGGTATGTTATTGTTTACGAGATGCGACGTGACTCACAAAAATAAGCATGACTTTAGGGAAATTCTGAATATTCCAGAAGTAAAATTCAAATACCATTAAACAGCTACTGCAGCGCCCTGAAAATAAAAAAAATTTAGAACTGTGAAAGTAGGATAAGCACGGCAAAGTTTATAAATTGTTAGTATATTCTGAACTTCACCCTTGTTAATGGTTCGGAAGAAGAATGTAGTAATGATTAACAAAAAAGATTTCGTTCATTTCCTGTTATTTGTTTGTTGAATTTATAACGATGTCAGAAGGAATCAGTCAAAATGAAGAATGTGATTAAAAATGACGTATGAGCAAAACTACTGCATCTCTGCACCCCACTCTTCGAGGTTACACACATCTACGACTAATACTAGATGGCACTCTCGAACAGTGATCGTGTTACGCGACTATATGACGTAGATTTTAACGACCACTTTTTGCACACAAAAACATGCATATAAGGAAAAATAAGGTAGTTGCCTTTAATTCTTATATCTTTCGGTTCTTCCCACTTCCATATCCGATTAAAATCGGATCAAGTGATTATCCCATTCCGCTTTTTATATATAAGTATACAGAATCTCCCTGGACTAATTCTGGCAGTTTTCCTGTGAATTTTTCCAAAGCTGTTAATGAAATACGATATTGTATAAAAATGGAAACTCTTTAGCATATTCAGAATCAATCATGCTGGCAACAACAGGAGTCGAATTATCTCATGAGTTTACCTGACAATATTCAATCGCTGCCTGAAACTCGATTTGATGCACTTCAGGCTTTGTATTTTATTTAACCTAGCGTATCTTTATAAATAGCCAAAGTATAAACAAAAAATATATTTTGTGAATTTGTACATTACATAAACAATGAAGACTAACCCTTAGATCCCACAATGCGATTAAGCCATCTATTGCACATGTACTGAATTTTTGCACATTATCATTACGACCGCTGTGTGGCAAAATTTCTCTGAAGTTTTGCAATTAGATTTAAATTTCTTCATAAAAATTTTCAATCGACCATAATATGTATGCAACCGAAACGTTTTAAAGATGCTTTTCTAGTATATAATTCATTGGTTTCTCTTAGCATCCATTTCATTCCACATATGAAGTGAGATAAGAAATCCTCACGTTATGGCGTTTTGATGCATCGTTCTTAGACGTACGTTAACAGCTTCAACGGCAGCATTTCGATCAATATTACGAAACTTTTGCATGGCGCTATTGATATTTATTGATTTTTGCTCTGATGGAATGTCTAGTTTCGTCACAAATTTAAGTTCATCGCCTGAGTACATGAACAACATTGGAGAATAATCGTGACCCTAAAATGTTTTTTTTTAATTTTCTTAATTTTTAGATATATTTTTAAATTTTCTTGATTTTTAGATATATTTTTAAATTTTTTTAAATTTTAGATATATTTTTAAATTCTCACAAAATTTTAATTTTTAGCGAAGATCTGTATAAAACACAACAGAGAGTGGAAAAACATACCGCTGCTACGAGGCTATTTTCGGTAACCCACTGGATGGAAGTAAAAGGCAGATACACAGTACGGAGAACAACAGCTTCTTCTAATGAACGATTAGTATCGATAACGGCAACAGTTGCGTCATGAGCTACATATGACAATCGACAACCAGACGGTGAAAACGCAACATGATGAATCCATCCAGAACTCTTCGCCTGAGCTATGAAGAAAATTAAGGAACGCTGGTCTACTGTGGCTTTTGTCATTATAACAAAGTCAGTATGCATAACGAAGTCAAGATGTGGCACCAAAAATAAGAAATTTCACAAAATAACATGATATGGAGAAAAATTTTGTTACATCTTAGAATATTAAAGAAATGCTCCCTGTTCCCTTTAAATTCAAACCATACTTCACACATCAAAGCACCAAAAGGCATTTTGCTGCCCCATGGATTCGGTGAAGGCTTTTCGTCCACTTCCTTCACATAAGCAGAAAAGACACGAACCTCAAATACATGGATCCAAAATGAATAAAATCAATGAAATATGTAAAACAACTTCTGAACCAATTTCTCACAAACTCAAACACCATTATTTTATATACAATTGGTATAATGGAGAAAGATTTGAACAGTTTCAGTTTTCTCAGAAACTGAATGAAATCCTTTACGCTGGCATTTACCTATTACAACCAATAAAAAAGGAAACTTTTTTCTGCGTGGAAGCATATACCACAACCTTATTAAAACCTGTAAAGATATAGGCCAACGTCAATAACTGGCAACAAATGAAAACCAGTGAAAGATTTCAAAGATTTTTTTTTTTCATATCAGTCATCAGAACCACCTTGAAATCGCAAGCACCAACAGAAAGCAACACGTTATTAGGATGCCAATCAATACATGTAACGGTGGAACGAATCGGTTTTTTGATCTGTTTACAAATCCACCAATCATTCTCCCTCTCATAGTAACAAACTGATACTAATTTAGCTCCGCTACCAACAGCAAATTTATTCTCTGCAAAAAATTATTTTAAACTACTTCACATTTTTTTTGGTTACTTTTCTCCTCATAGAATTGAGAAAATTCACAATAATCAATAGCTAGTGGACAAATGTAGAAAGTATAAAAAAACTTTCAGCATATACCACACTTTTTTTTAATATATATTAGCCGTTTGAAATCTAAGAAATAAGCTCTACACCACCTGAATAAAGGTTATGTTCAAACCCTAATCAAATTTTAAATGCATATCTAAGGAATAAATATTGCGTCACAAACGCAACGTTCACTTCAGATAAGTATTGATGTCACAGATCAACTTTAACTAGTACGATCTTTGAGTGACTAGGGCAAGCAATAACTCAAGTTTTGATAAAGAAAGGTAACACGAGAATGGTTCCAACATCTCAAACCATTAATTTGAAATTAAAATGGTCATCAGAATATTAAACGAAATTTAAATAACTGATGGAAAGACAAACCATATGGTGACCACCTCACGCATGTTGCTGCTCTCTGCATACGTACAACAACTAATTCGGGTTTCCAGTGGTCCCTATGAAAGGTCCATACAAAGGCATTCTTATCCTAAATATTAAAAAATAAAAACGCTAAAAAGTGAAGTAAAAAGAACTGTTTCTTTACAAAGCAGAAAGTCTATAGAGAGAAAATATGAAGCACAACCTTCGTCGATCATTATCTGTATACTCCCACCTGATTTGAATTTAGAAGTCTTAAAAATAATAGAAAATTACAGTAAATACAATTGCTGCTCCGATGATACAAATCTCTTTGCTGAAAGATGGCAAGTATAAGGCTTGCCTGTGCACAAGAAACAATACGATTGGTTTTCGGTGCCCAGTCTAGACCAGTTATCGGCAAATCATGTTCAATCAACAACGCCGCCAATGTCCATCGTCCATTTTGCCATTGAAATACATGGATTTCGTTATTTGATGGTGAAACAGCGAGCACTACGAATAAGAACTGATGATTTAGAAAAGCGATATGCAAGTAAAACCTTAAATCTCTATTTGAAAAGAAATGAAGCAGACACATCTCTAGCTTTTTCAGAAATGACATTTTTTGAAAGATACAAGGGAAGTAGCTGGGAAAAGAAAGCGAAAGTATTGTTTAAGATGTCTAACTTTAACATAGCTTAATTTTGCTTGCCATAAATTGAAACACATACAAAAAAGTCTTAGATTAAAAGAAGGAAGGGAAGGAAGATAATGAGGAGGAGAAAAACAACAACTGACCACAGTCTCAATAAAAAATCAATGTAAATTCCTTGACAGACTTCTAATTTGGATAGTCGACTTTCTCTAACTCTTCAATTGCGCTGATGACCATCAATACATACACGAACGAAAGACAACAAACTTGTTCGGTCTCGATTCCACGCATGACACGATATCGGACCTATTCCTAGATTCCATTGTTGTACGGGAAAAGTTGACATTCCTCACGCACAACTTCTTTTCAATAGTAACGTCTCTAAAAATAGGTTTGGACAAACAGGCTTTACCAACGTATGCTACGTACAGGTATGTGTAGGTCACGTAAGTTATATAAGTTATGTACATTAAAGTTAACGATTTCGGAGTAAGGTCGAGGGTAATCTACCTGAGCATCGGGACAACCACCAAAGCAGCACCAGCAAACCAATAGATCTCTCCTGCGGGCTACACAAAGCGACGGGATTTGGTTTAAAAAACTGTTGTCCCGAGAAAAGTACAAAATAGTGTTTGAATATGGGAGACGAGAGAAATCTTTAAGATTCACAAGGCCATATGTGACAGGTGGAAAGTGTAGTTTGAGGTTAGGGAGGCAAGATAAGGTTACACAGGTAGCTTGGTTTTAAGGTTAATGGTCGAGAGATAATGGGACTTGGCTATGCGTAACGACTGGAATAGAATTCCCTTCCCACATAGTAAGGCTCTTTAACATAAGCGTATTTAATCAGAAGTTTTTATAATCTTCTAACTGCTTGTGTCTAAATATCACTCGTAAGTCTTAAACCCAAAGATTTGAAATCTATTATGTAACTATTTTGGTATTTAGGCCATGAATATTTGAGTCCCAGGAATGTTTGCATGCCAAACTTTCAGTTCGACTGTCTTATTTCGGTGTATTGCAAAGCTTTAATTTTAACTTCATAAACATAATAATCGGGAAGTCACGTAAGTTTAAATACTTAAACTCATTTTATGAAGGAGCTCTCTTGTCTTCTTCATCTCGCATCCGACTCTTTCAAATTCCTGTCCATTTATTTTCTTTGTGTTGGCAAAGGACAACATAACACAGCACTGATACAAATTATAGACTCCGTGCAACGATTATAAAACAAAGTTAGTTTTATGCAAAAATTTGTCAATAACGTCCTCTTAGGAAACACATTTTCAATGGCACACGCAACAGATAGTAGTGATCATAAGTGACAATCATTCAGCAGTGAACTTCAAATCTAATAGTTTATAAACGGAATTCCTGTATGGAAACAGACTTCCGTATGCAAAGTCATCTGCTATAAACTATTAATTCTCACAAAATGTCTAGGATTATTAAAATAATTTGGTACCGATAAAGGATGAAAGGAAGGCAGCATACTTTCAAATATTTCAATCAATAAAAAATTTTCTTTTCATCTACTAGCATTTCACTTCTTTGCAGTGGAAAAAAATTTGACAAACAAAAAGAAAAATTATTTGAACATGACATTCTGCAATATCTTGAAGTCATGCTAAATCCCGCTGGACGTCTTTTCGGTCGCTTTCCGCTGTGCAGCTATTGCAGCCAAACTTTTTTGCAGTTCTACCAGTACCGGTAACAGATTGATATTGTTTGAAACAATGTAGGCACGCAAAGTATCTATAGCCTGTGCAACCTGGAACCGTCAAAAAATCCAGAATACAGAGGTAGGCAAAAATTTTTTCCACCCTAAGTGGTACAATTTTTACTTTTCTTTTTTTCTTACTTCAACTTGTTATTCAACTTCGCCTTTTTGAGAGGACCATGATTGTAACCAAGACTAGAAAAGTATGCAAAAAATGTATGTCAGATTTATTTTGTGACACTTCTCGTTGATTTAATCCGATCTCTCCACTATGATAAAGTGAATTTCTAAAAAAATTAGCCAATTTGTCAGCAAAGGAATAACAATGACATTTTGATCTTATCAGTGTTTTTAGCATCAGCAACAAAATTTTATGCATTAGCGCTCAACAAAACATACCTCAATTTCATTTACACGATAACAGCACGTTTCAAGCAGCGCTTGAACTGATGATGCACCAATTTCAGAAGCATTAACTGTTGGAAGTAACAAATTTTGTTCTATAACCGATAAAATTAATACAAAGTACCAATTAATAAAAATGAAATAAACAAAAGTCAGAAGAAATGAAAGCGAAAGATGAATGGAGTGAATTTTCCGAACCCTAATCCTTGTGATCGAGATTTCTCTTTCTTCAAATCCTTCAAATTCATTCACCCATAATATTTCGGGAGAACTGTGGAACAAAGTATAACAAGCAATTATTTGAATAATAACTGAACAGAAGTCACAAAAATATGAAGTTCTCGTTTTTTCCCTGACCTTTAAGAGTTTTTTGGCTCTAAATCAAAGTTTTTTGACGAAAGACTGACATTCTGCTCGTCTGTTCGTTCTTCAGCAATATATCTATCTTCCTATCTCGAAGAGAATTTGATTATTTGACTGCGTGGCCAACGAAAAAGTCCATTTTCGGATCTATTTTTAGGAAGAAAATCGGAACTATAGTAACGAAGAAAAATCTCATATAACTCACCAACAACTATCCTTTGAATGGATTTTAAGAATACAAATATCCTTACATTAAGCGTTCATGTAATTTTAAGTGTGTGTAGAGAAAATTCAGTTCCGAAATTGCGGTTAGGTTAAAGAATCTGGACTAAAGTTAGATTAATGTTGGCCTTCTTTGAGATTTCGGATAAAACTGTAAAACTAAGACAAACCATTCACGGTTGATGGGCCAGGTAAAAGTCGTTGTATATCCAATGGACTGGTCGTCCGAATTGCCGCCGTAGCCTGAGTTGGACTTGTCACTGCTTAAAAAAAAAAGAAAAAAAGGAAGCTGCATAATTTACAAAACATGTGGAAGGATTTTACCTCGACGAGCGAAGCATACTAAAGCTTGCTGAACAGTTTCGCAAGACCAATACGGTGTTTTACTCATATACAGTACATCAGATCTAAAGAGGTTAAATAGATCGCAATTTAGTTTGAAAGCAAAAAGTAGACTATGATCGTAAATAAACTTTCGCACTAACCTATACCGCTATCAGAACCATCAGCTGAAGCAAGAACAGCCGCATCTGCCGCATCCATCAAGAATTTATTTGCATCTAACACGGTGGATAGCGAATTGGTGTCTCGAGTCAACCTTGGACTCGGTGCTGTTGATCGAGCTGAAAGAATCTGAATTTCAGGGAATGTCAAGTAAATGTTGTACTGATTATATGAATTTTAAAAAAGTATTTCAGATAACTATCCTACATGACATTATTTAGTAAAAAAGATACAACAAATTGGGAACCATTTCGAAAGCTGCGTGATATCAGTAATCTGATGTTAGATAATAACCTGAATTTTGTTATGAAATTGTTATTTGGAAATGCAAAGATAAACCAGGATAGATTATGAAAGTTGGGATGGAAGAAAATAGCTCATCGAACTAAAATTAGAGAATTCCTGCAAAGAAAAAATACAGATTTTTATTTCCAAGCCATCGTTTACAGAGCTCGAATCCTCAGGATCTGCTTCGTAAATCACGGGTTTTCCAGTCATTGCCTTGAGATCAATGCAGTGACGCCTTTTGAATGAATCTAACCAACCCTCGGAGGCTTTGAAACTGTGTAGTCCTGAAACAATTTCAGTGCTCAATTAGCCTTTTGGAATTAATAAAATAGAGTCATTAGAAAGATTTCGCAACAAAACAAAGACGTGCTTGAAGAGTTTGCATAGTACAATTAATTAATCAATTAATCGATTAATTAATAATAATGATGATGATAGCAATAATAATCATTAATAATCATTAATAATAATTAATAATAATAATAATAATAATTAACAATAATAATAATAACAATAATAATAATAATAATAATAATAATAATAATAATAATAATAATAATAACAATAATAATAATAATAATAATAATAATAATAATAATAATAATAATATAATAATAATAATAATATAATAATAATAATAATATAATAATAATAATAATATAATAATAATAATAATA